TGGTGTATTTCAATTAGATGCCTCTGTAACTATACAAACAAAGCTCATGTAGTAATTAATAAGATCATAGCTAAGTGCTAAAGCAATAGTAATTAACAAATTGCAAGGCTGCCAAACCTTCATAGTTCAGATATCACCTTTAACTTATTCATATGAACTCCGATTAAAGAAAATTTTGATCAGTTGAATTCTTTGTAGCATAACTTGGCTATCTGGATCAGTTGTTCTTCAAGATTACACCACCATATATTGAGCACTTGTCGAGCTTTTGGATACTCAAATCTCCTTCTTAGCAATCCTAACTCTTGAAAGATCTTCAACCTTGTGCCTTGACTCATCCACGATCCATTGTGAGTGCTCGGTTGCTTTGCTTGAGTTCTTTGATCGTCTTGTCATTAACCCTTGATGATGTCTCCATTTTCTAAATATAGTGGATTAAGGTTGTGTTTAGTTGGGGGGAGGGGGGAGTACTACCACCTAGTTCTAGTGTTTGGTTAGGGAATAGAGGGATGGAAACCGCCCAAGGGGAGAGAATATTCTATGAAGATGTCGTCCCTCCTCATCTCCTCATCAAAAGTCAAAAGTGAGGTATCGCGTCGTCCCTTCAATGCACTTTTACTCGTAAGTGGGCGAGTCGCGCGAGAGCTCCACGAGGGGTGGCGGCGGTGGCTATGGTGGAGCAGCACGGGTGCCGCGACGGCAACGGCGGTGGTGGTGACCCGATCTCGTGGTTAAGAAACATGATTCTGACATCGTGGGGTAAGGTAATCTTTTTGGAGCTCTCTGATTCTATTCATTTTTATTGGACAATTCTCCTTTACTGTATCATCTACTTCTAGTGTGCGATGCCGATGCTGATGGGTTAGTACTGATCCATTAGTTTTTGGATGATCCATTACTGTTGCAGTCTTGGAGACAGGAATTGCTGTAGGGTTCTGTCGTCTCCCTAGGCAGGAGAGGACGGGAACAAGATGAAGATGATGACCATAGTCCATAGACGTGGGTGTATGTGAGGACTGGAGATCAGCCAACTGTAAATGTAAGTACCGCACATATAAGTTGCAATGGTAATCCGCCCGTTTCCCTGTCTTTTATTCCTGTGACAGTAAGATAGAAGACAAAAAAAAAAAGAAAGAAAGAACGAACGAACATCTATGCATCCCTCTCATATATGAGCATTGATCATGCTTGTTCTTGTTCTATTGGTCCAATTGAAACTATCTATCTACACATGCTGTAGATAGCAACAACAAAAAACTTTAAAGGATAGGATTACACGGGAGTCCAAAGTTGATGTCGCTTGATGATACTGGCAGCTTTCAGGAGAATTTCTTGTTCTGTAGATGACCACTCCTCTATCTTCTGTGGTAAGATAAAGTCAAATGTTAACGAGTAAGGAGATAGGGCTCTAGTACACTAAACCAGTAATGTTACATTAAACTCCAATGTACTGAACCGATAAAATGAGCAGTTGTACTACCAAATCAGTCTGAAAAGTTGAGCTTAAATTAGTTGTCAAACTGCTTCTCAAATGGCCACCAATACGCAGAGAACAAACACAAAATCATAATACAGATTCCCAACATCAGCTAAACTCTAACAAAGGCACCGCACTAAGCAGACTTATCAACGCAAAAGATGCGAAGTGTGGTAACTTCTACATGATGTAACGAGTTTTTGATCCCTGAAGGCTTATAGAGCAGTATGTTGGCTCTTGGCTCATGTTCGTTTGAACGATTGCTATTCCACCCAAAAACATTTGTTTTATGTGATATAAAAGGCTAATATGCAATACTGTGCATAAAAAGTGAACCAATGGTCGCTTTATTATCACAGCACATAGAGAAATGCATATGGTATACCCAGTCAATTCACATTATTGTTTTTTAAGAGGAACATAGTTAACGTACCGTGCTTTTGATGTTGCAAGCAATGGTAAGCTCTCCACGGGAACTTTCTAACCGTGAGAGGTAGCAATATGGAGCGTCGATTTTTGAGTTGGACATCAACATTGCTTTTATCTCCTCTGTTATAGCAGGAATCTTTTCGATGTCTTCAATTCTTACAGGAAGTTTGGACATGCTAGCATGCCACTGGGTCTTTGATTTGTTCACTATCACCTACAAGTTATTTTGGTAGAAGAATCATATTAAGGAGGGAACCCACTTGGAAGTCCAAAATTCCACATTGATATGCAAAATATTCATTCAAAGATAAAATAAAATAACATTTTAAACGTGACACATTACTTGGCTGGATAATTGTGAGTTAGGGACTACAACAGGGAGCTTTTCTGTATTTATCAACAAAGTAGAAGTCAGTCGAATTTCAACCACTTGTCCTTCTATTGAACCAGCCTGCAATTGAAAAGCAATTCTAGTCAAGCAAAGTTTGCATCAAGCCGGAAAGCAGTAAACGAGTTTGGTATAGCCATTAAAACTAGACAAAGTTACAACTAGCTAACTATGAAACGGTTTTGTTAGAAGAGGCATCAGTGCTTGTTTCTTGAAATTTTGGAGCTGGAAGTACCAAAGATAAAACAGGGATGGAAGCTTTACGAGGCATGATTGGAAGTATGAACTGTCCAAAGCATGAACTCTTTATTGAACTTTGTCTTCTAAACCTATATTCATTCTCCATGATAGTTTTTTCTTTTACCCTACTTAAAACATGTAAAAATATTGTCTCAGGAAACCACATTTTTGTATGTTTTGTTTCCTAAGGGAAACTTGGAATCTTGAATGAGTTCATTAGGTGCACTTATTCAAACTCCAAGGAAAAATCACGACAACTACTCATGTGGAGGAAATTGACTCCCTATGGATAAGGCTACAAGAAATTTATCTACAACCATCAGCAGAAGACACAATCAGGTGTAAGTGGACAACAAATGGTGAATACTCCTCACACTCGGCATTCAAAGCTCAATTCCTCGGAGTGGTCACATAGGAAAACACTAAACTCATTTGGCAGTCTCGCGTGGAAAAATAAATGCAAGCTGTTCGCTTGGATCTTAATTCAAAACAAGCTTCTAATGATGGATAACCTCACTATCTATGGATGGCCACACTAAACTGTTCAAGTATAAGTGGATTGTTCATCTTTTTCTAATGGCTTAAGCTTTTGGGTTCATCTGGTTGGTGCATTAAACCTAATATGGTATCAAAGCTAGAGGTCTCGAGTTCAAATCCTGACAGAGGCATTATTTAAGCCCTCCGCTCCTTTGTTTTCCTCGTCTGCACTTTGTATGTGGCTGCACGTGTTGAAGTATAAGTGGATTGCCCACCTCTTCCCAATGGGTTAAGCTTTTGGGTTCATCTGGTTGGTGCATGAAACCTAATACAAACCACCTGCTCGTTCTACAATGGGCAATCCGAAAACTGGGCAGCACCTTTGCCTCTTAGAGCAACTCCACCACGACCCCTAATTGAGCCATCAAAAACAAACCAAATTTGAGGACCAGAACCAAAAAACGAGCTCTAGCAGAACCCTACTAGAGCCTTAAAAACATGAGAGGCCCCTCAAATCTCCCCCTCAGCCCTCATTCCAAGGGACTTGCTTTCGACCCTCAAATGTCAGTTGTTGCCGTTATCCTCCCCGTGCATAGGAGGAATTGCATCCGCCCGTATGGATCCGATGTCACGCCGCCTGCTCCACCGTCCGCGGCGAGACCCTTCCCCCGACACAACTTCCCTGAGGCCTCGAGCAGCCCATCACCCTCGGCGACGCGGCTCCACTCCCCTAGTGATGCGCCTCTTCCCTCGGCGAATCTCCCTTCATGTGGCCTTCTCTCCCCCGAAGAGAGTCCTTTGCCCGGCGTGGCTCCCGCAGCAAGGCTTTGTCGGCTCAATGCAGCTCGTCTCCCGAGCACCCGTCCCCCGACGAGGTCCTCCACGTCCCGGCCAGGTCCTCGGCGCAGCTCCTCTTCCCGTCCCACGTCCAGATCCCACCCAAGTCTTCCCGGCGTGGATACTCTCATCAGCGGTGGTCCCGGCACCACAACGCTCCTCCTTGCCCCCATCCTAGACGTTGGACATGGTCGGACGCGGCAGGAGATCGAGAGAGTCAAGGGCGAGATGCGGTGGTCGACTAGGTACGGGCAGAGTCAGGGGGGCATTGGGTGAAAGAGGTAGAGAGAGAGAAAAAAATAGAATGATAAGTGAATCCCATTTGCCAGTGTCTAGCTGTCTACTTGGTTAAATTTAAGGGCCTTGATTTGAGGTCCTGGAGTAGAAACCAAAAAAATTGGACCTCAAAAGTAGGGGAGCCCTCAAATGAAAAGTAGGACCCTGATTTGAGAGCTCCTGCTCAAGTTGCTCTTATGCCCCTTCACGTAGATGGTCTGGTCGTAAGTGTCCACATGGGAAATATTCGTGATCCCATAACACGTGCTCCCCTCAAATTTCAATAATGTCAGACTCGTGGGAAGCTGCAGCCAAGTCATTGTTACACAAAAACCAAAGGTGAAAGTTCAAGATATATAATGTGGAACCTCTGAAAAGAGCAAACTGGAAAATCTTTGAAAATAAGCACCTCACCACAGTGCAGGTCATGAAGAAAACAAAATATTGCCTACTTTAATACAGAAGGGCACTTGATTTACAAGGGTAGTTTGGCCTTTGCTAGGGGGTCGGGTTTGTTATGGGAGGAGGGACCTTTGTTTTCAGCAGTTAAGCCATGTTCGTATACATATACTCTCTTTTCCGCTTAATAATTGAAAGACAGAGCTCCTGTTATTTTTTGTTAAAAAGGGTGAATTATTACACTCTTACTTATAGAAGCTATTTTCTCTACTGTTCCTTTGTTAATATTTAACAAAAAATGCTTTCATGCTAAATTTTTATTTGTAGCTACCTTATTAACTCACTGAGATAAATATCATCCAAACCGACTTTAAGCTTACTCGAGAACTAATACATATAATGTATTTGACATTTTCAGCAAGGTTAACTACTAAATTTACCCATGTTATTAGTAAGCTAATGACTACAACCTTAAGATCACATGACACAGATTCCAGGAAAATAAAGGAGTATAAAAGGTTGGTTAGATAAATAACCAGGGACCTTTATGTAGTCTCCAATTGAGAATGGCCTTGAAAATTGTAAAGAGAATCCACTCAACATGTTACCAAGGATATCTCTTGCCGCAAAAGCAGTAGCAACACCTATAACAACATAGGTAAGAGAATATTACTCCCTCCATCCACGGATATCGTTCTAGATTTTTTCAAGTCAAACTGTCATAACTTTGACCAAAATTATACCAAAAATACTAATGTTTATGATACCATAAATAAGTACCATTAGATTATCATGAAATATATTTCATAGCACACATATTTGGACTCATAAATGTTAATACTATTTTCTATAAACTTAGTCAAACTTAAGAGAGTTTGACTAAAACAAAACCCTATAATTCCATTCTTTTCAAGACGGAGGTAGTAGTCTGGCAAATGCAATTACTAGTGAAGTAAAAAAATGATCCAGCTTTTAGTTATGAGCAAGTATAGGTAAATTATTGACCATATGTAGATTGCTGATGATATTGAAGGCAGTCAAACTACTACTGAATTTCAAACCTAACACAGGTTGAACAAAATGCTGTAGACCATACTTGTGTGACAAACCAAGTTCAAACCAGCAGAAATTTCAGTGCAGTTTACATATCCTTTCTTGTGGCAACAGGTAAGATAACCAAGACCAGAGCTGCCGAAAGAGCACTGAGTCAATGTTCACACATAAAGTCTACCAAATGAGATGTAAGGCACATTACCAATCATCCAGAGACAGCAATTGTATTACATATAACTGTTACTGACATGGTAAAGGTATGATTCAGGTAGCCTTGCCGCTTGCCTACTTAGTCCACATAAAAGAAAGCCCTGATTTTTAAGTGGAAATGCTCACACGAAGAAGAACATTGTGTTAAACATTACCTCCAACACCACCAACAGTTAATATTGACTGCACAGGTACACCACAAGCTTCAGCAAGGGCTATAACTCCAAGTGCTATCAGTCCTAGCGATGACACCTTATCAAATGCTGACAATCTTTCGCGGTCAGTTCCTGTAGCAGCTTGTTTGGCCATAGCATGACCAATGAAGTTAGTTTTCCACCTATGAAGGAACCACACAAAAGATACAACGAATGCCCCTTTCCATGCTTGTGGAAGATAAACTGAAATGCTTGGCTCAATAACTGCAGCCCTGAGGAAGGAAGGAAACATAAGAGACCTCAGACATATTCAGAACAAAGTCTAGCCAGAAAACGATCTGCATCATAGATTAACAAGATCATGCTGTCAATAACAGTATGAACAAGTATAAAATACCATAGATAGCCAGAAAATTTTCTAGCATGTGTGTGTGTGTGTGTGTCTATATATATATATTGCAAAGGAAAAATCATAGGAATTCTACTTTAAAAAATAATAAAAATATATGAAAGGAATATGAAAATTCCAGAATCTGGTTTTAACCTCAAGAGCATCTAGCGAAATCTTATTTTGTTGCCAATAATATTTTACAATAAGAAGTACTAAGAAATTAAGTCTCTCAAAAGGTAAGCAATTAGCAAATTATAACTCCTTACATCTGTGAAAATGCCATAAATGTGATGATATATTTTGTAGGATCTTCCAGTGCACTCCACAAGCTTGTTTCATAAGACAGATGTTTCTTAGTAGAGTCTCCCTCGAATGTCCTAAGAGGACCATCTGATGCATAGTTGTGCAGCTTTCTTAGAACAACAGGCATTACAAACCATGCCATTGCTGTACCGATCAGTGTCCCACCAAGTGGAACAATTACCTTTTCTAGATATGTGTGATTACCAAATAACTCTTGGACATGAAATGTAATTGCATCATTCAGACGCTTCATGTTGTTGCCTGCAGCAGTGCTAGCATCAACAGCAGAACGATGAGCATCTTCTGACATATCAATCCAGGTGTTTCCACCGTCATCTGTGTTGTCAACTTCAGAAGCTCCTGTAGAAGAAACCTTTGAGACAGCACTTTCAAGACCATCTGGTTTAGCTCTAGTATACGAGGAACACATGCGACGAAGACTTGATACACCTGAGAACCCCAGTGATTGGTTGTAGTGATGCTTTGCCGTAACCAACCAACAATTCTTTGAATGAACTCTAAAATGCATCGTGCTGCTTTTTTCAATACTAACGGGATAAGTGCCCAGCTTTTCAGTGTGCTCAAGCTCAGAAGAGCTGAACCATCTCCAAGGAACTCCAAAATATATACACTGCTCAGGAGATGCCCCTCTGGGACTCCGAACACTGGCTGCTTGGCAAGACCATCGCAAAATTGCTGTGCTCCTAAACATCGCATCCTTTCTAATAAAAATTGACATGGCAGCTAACAGAAACGCCCTGCACTGACTCAGATATTCAACATGCACATTGTCAAATTAACAATAACTAGAGATCAAGCGCATATCACACACACAGTGACAAAAACATTACAGAAGCCAAGAAAGAAAGCATTTCAAGCACTTAAGAGGAAATGCTAATCCAAACATTTTAGTGGTATAAGATGTGCACTGTACCAAGAACACACACTCCACGCAACCATCTCATTGCTCTTCTAGTATCCCCTAACAGTGCTAGTGACTATTGCGATTCAACATTTCAACTTCAAGTATGCAATAAGCTGACAGACAGGAAATGAATGACTCTAAATCAAGTGAACCTCCTTAATTTTAAATAGATGTTGTAAAATGGTTAAATATGATACACAATTACGCATATTTGTGAGCTGGTAACATATTCGCATTATTTCCAACACGGAGCCGATATCTCCGCATAGCCAATGCTGAACTACGACCTTCACACTGTTCTGGAACATGACAATTTTACAAACAAGCAACAAACTATTCCATTGTGCTCAAACCTGCTAAATAATTATGTGATGAACACCAAGTACGTGTAAACAACAACACTTAACAAACTAGAGACTGGAGTACAGGACAACGAATTCAGATGTTGACATCTGGACATTAATTATTTGTAACCCCGATAACGCTAACGTGCAAGTTAAACTAGTTCTTCGAGATCCCATAGATCGCCTCACTAAAAGATAGCACATAAAGTCATAAACACACATCAAACAAGTAGCTGATCGCAAGGTGGTCGATGAAATTTCTCACCGAATATCCGCAGATCACTAGACGACGATAGCCGCCGTTCTGTGGTATCCGCAGAGAAACAAGCAAGCAACCGAGGGTGGCCTCCTATCACCATCCGCATTCCAACATCAAAAATTCAAAACTTAAACTCTGAGTGAATGGAGATAAAAAGAAATTCTTCCCTTCGCTGAGAAGAAAAGAAACCAACCAACGCTCAACGGCACGGCAGGACGACGAGAAGAGCTGGGAGCCTGGGAATCGTGTGGGATGGTGCTGCGCATGGGCGAGACTTGGAGGGAAGTAGTGCCAGAGCAGAGGCACCCGCTAGATGGTTCGGCTGACGCGCGCTGCAACTAGAAGCCTGACTTCGTGAGCGCTTGGCTACTGCAAGCTGGCTATCGGAGCCTATCAAGGGAAAAAGAAATAGTACCCACACCTGGAAAAAAGAGACGTCATGCGCTGCGCTGGCCTGTGGCAGTGATGGTGATGGCTGAATGTTTTTGCTACGCTCCTATTTGACCGATCTCGGTAAGGCTTCCCTGGAACTTATCGACCCGACTTATCAGTTACGTTTTTCTCTCGCAACGAGATATCATGCATGCAGCGCTAGCTGCCATGGAGTCTATTGGGTTGTTTGCCCAGACAACATTGTCTGTTCAAGTAATTTCATACCTCAATTTCAAATATATAGCGGGCTATATTTATTGTCTGACAGATATTTGGCTGCCACGGCCCAAGCCAAACCTACTTCCTGTGTTTGTGTTTATATTTTGTTACCGTCGTGTGGAACCGTGGATGGCAGAGCAGCATTCACCACGTGGCCGTGGCCAGTAGCCAACACCTACGTACGACCGCCACCGCAGATCCACTACCCTCGACACGTATCGCTTCCAGAGTCACACGTGTGCAGCTGCATGAACCCAGCTCACTCCCTTAAGAACAGCTCGACGCTCACCTGTCTAGCCCGTGCATGCCACCCTGAGCGCCACGAACGCGCAAAGGCGAAAGAGACAGAAACTCCCAGATAATAACGCCCGTCCATGGCGTCGTCGTGCCACAACGTGGAGGTCCCCGGCAAGCCGACGGAGACGGGCACGGCGCTGCTGGAGACGGCGACGGGCACCATCCAGGGGTTCGCGCCGCTGAACCAGATCCACCAGCACCTGTGCGCCTTCCACTTCTACGCGGACGACATGGGGCGGCAGGTGGAGGCGCACCACTTCTGCGCGCACCTCAACGAGGACGTGCGGCAGTGCCTCATCTTCGACGGGCCTGGCGCCGGCGCGCGGCTCATCGGCGTGGAGTACATCGTCTCGGAGGAGGTGTTCCTGACGCTGCCCGACGGCGAGAAGCCGCTGTGGCACACGCACGAGTTCGAGGTGAAGGGCGGGGTGCTGTTCATGCCGGGGGTGCCCGGCGTGGTGGAGCGCCGGGACCTGGAGAAGGTGTGCAAGACCTACGGCAAGACCATCCACTTCTGGCAGGTGGACCGCGGCGACGCGCTCCCGCTCGGCCTCCCGCAGATCATGATGGCGCTCACCCGCGAGGGGCAGCTCCGGCAGGACCTCGCTGATTGTGCGTCGGTCGGCATGCATGCACGCATGCGTGCTCGCCGCAGATCGTATATATGTAGTCCTGTTTCTTTTTCTGATGGATTATATATGTTACTTGTTGGAACATGAAACGTGCAGGTGTGGAGAAGAAGTTTGGGGTGTCTTTCCACAAGGAGACGGAGAACCGGGCGTACATGAGCGGGCCGGAGCACGGCATCCACCCCCTGGCGAACGCCGCCGGCAAGGGCCTCAGGACTGAGATCCGGGAAGTCGATATTCCGGCGAGTACTACCGCTGGCGCCGGGAGGGTCTTCACTTGATCGGAGGGAGATCGCCGTGCATTGCCGCGGTGGGTCTCTCCGAGGCAGAGACTACTGTCTTATGTGAACTTTGAATCTTCGCATAATAAGAGATGGCGCGCTACTAATCAGTGTCGCGTAAATATGATATTGGCTCATCTCGCTTAGCTCAAAAAACAACCTGAAATATGGTTCCGGCTGATTTGTTATGAGAGAACAACATTGTTCCGACGCTAAAAAAACTGATTTGTTATGAGAGAACAACACTGTTCCGACGCAAAAAAAAACTGAAAAAGACGGATTATAAAAGAAGCAAACATGGCCATTATATCACTGTTACTGATAGTTTTGGTTGAATTCTTGGGCCGCGTTTAGTTCGGCCACCGAATCGGCGCCCGGATCGGATGTAGTGTTTGTTTTATTTGGTAAAAAGATTAGGCTCAAGATTGTCTAAGAAAGTACAAAAAGAAGTTTTGATTTCGTCAACATATAGGACCATTATATCAAATTTGATGTGATGGAGAACCGTTTATAGTGCCAAATTCTGAAATTTGGGGCAACTAAACGAGCCCTTGGAGTCATCGTATTGTATTCCTCACGCAGGCACGCCGCCTCCGACGCCCAGTACGTTAATGTGTGCCTGCCAGCCGGCCTCCTGTACGGCCTGCCTGTGATCGTACGACCGTACGGAGGCCTTGGTCGCGGTCGCAGGTCGCAACGGCGCTGTGACAATCCTAGCCACACCACACGACCACGAGTGCGTCACTGCGTCCTGGGTTCCGCACCGAACTGCCGCGAACAAGGCAGAAGGAGAGTTCTAGGTTGCGGCTGCCTCGTTGAACAAAAATTTTGATCACTAAATTGTTGATATAGTTATGATTAGAAATGAAATTTATTATCGTTTTTTTTCCAATGTTTTTTCCCGTCCAGCTCTACCCGACTACATGGAGAGTGGAGAGTTTGCTCTGTATCTCGTATATGACTCATAGCTCATGACTGATACTCATACGAGTTAGACTTCTACATATGAATGATACTAATTATGTACTATAAATGTTAATATTTTTTAGACAACACTTATTTATACTTATTTTAGGATAGGGAGTATTTGGTTTTGACTCAAGTTCTTCTTGTTCATGCACACCACAGTAGATGTAAACTTGTAATTGTCATTTTCTTTAACGCAATTGTCGGTATCTTTCAATTAAGTGAGAATAGAAGTTTTGTAGAGATGGAGGGGACAGGGCCCGCCTCGGAGAATAAAACGAAATGAAAGATAGCGATTACATCTTTTCCTCATTGATTACCCCTCCATGTTAACGTACGTTCTTTTCCTTCACTCAATGTCCTCTCAGTTTTTCCTCGTTGATTACCCTCCATGTTAACGTATGTTCTTTTCCTTCGCTCAATGTCCTCTTTGACTCTTGAAACTTCTTGCATTGCCGATTCACGAGCATTGTTAAAGATTCTTCTATTTCTCTCATTCATTACGTTTCATAATATGAAGATCACCATTCTGTTGAAGCGTCTTCTTTCCTCCTTAGTTATCATGGTCTCGGCCTCCTCCCACCATGAAATTAAATGGCCTGGTTCCTGAGTTAGCAGAATCAACTAGGCATCGAAGTGCTACCGTGATAGAATGATGCTCCATACTACTTTAGCCAATGGGCAAAGTAGTGACAAGTGCAGTCCTGATTCAAGCGGTCCGTTGTACAAAGCATAGTGATCTTGATGTGGCCATCCTTTTTTCTAGAGATTATCCACCGTGATGATTTTTTTGTTGCACCAAAATCCAGACGAATACTTTGCACTTGTTTTTTGCATGAGCTTTCCAGAAAACCGGGGGAGAAGCCTCTGAATTGGATCCCATAAGCTGACGGGCCGGTGGAGTAATTGCCATCGGGTGTCCATCATGTAATCGTCATAGGCGGCATCTAATTTCTTGGACTAGTTGAGGACACAAACGACGAGTTTCCTATACGTTACAGCACGCTAACCACCAAAGCTCCATGAGGTCCTTCGACAAAAGAGTGATACGTTGATTAGCACTAGGCCCCTAATTAGCACGAGAGTGGCGAGTCTGGAGACGTACGTTAAGGTGCTGGCAGGAGACACAAAGATGGCATCTCTCGGTGATCTCCCGGCTAACAAATCGTTGATATATTTCTCTGCGCGATCCGTTTGCTGTCCCAACTTAAATAATACGACCTCAGTCTCAGGATAAGACGTTTTGATTCATAGCTTTTATTATGAATCTAGATATAACATATATTTAAATATGTAGCAAAAGTTATAAAAAAGCTAAAACCGTAAAATGTAATATAAACTACTCCTTTGATTCATACTACTCCATCCATTTCAAATTATAAGTTGCTTTGACTTTTTTAATACATCCATTTTACTATGCATTTAGATATAATAATATGTCTAAATACATAGCAAAATGGATAAACCAAATAAGTCAAAGTGACTTATAATTTAGAACGAAGGGAGTATTACACAGCTGGGTTTTTTTTTGAGAAAAGTTTTTATTGTGCACCTTTTTTGAAGAGGGCCACTGGAGCATGAGAATACTCGGTTTGCTAGTAAGATATAAGATACAGAAAACAACCACGCCACACCTGTTAATCTGGACAACCCGCCAGACCCGTTTGCAGCCACTAATTCTGGATGAAAGCAACTAAAGCTGGATAAAAATAGCAAACTAAATTTTCAAGGATCACATCACGTCCAAAAGGGTTCAGCGAACTGGAGGCAGTTGCCGAGCTGAGGTCGTCAATTCACCGTCATAGCTTTCTTGAACGTGTGCATGAGCTCGCGATGCTGCGAAGTGAGCATGAGCTCGCGATGCCGCTAAGTGAGCATAGTAGGCTGGTGGAGCTACACAAAGAAAGAATAAGCTGTAAGTAACAAAGAAACCAATGATCCAGCATGCTCACTTGCTTAGAGTGGCTCAATGCTTGAGATAGTGAAGTTACATGCAGTCACCAAAATGTAGCTAAAACGCCAACTTCTTGGCTTTGTTGTTTGTTAAATTATGCTTTGTTAAGTCAAGTAATTGAAAATGCAAATAAAGCACAAAACACCCAAGAAACAATCAAAGCAGGTGACTACTCACCCATAGATAACTCTGGTTGGGCCCAACGAACACGGCTGCATGTTGCCAATAAAGTGTTAGATGCATACTGATTGTTGGTCAAAGTACAGTTGCCACATGAAGTGAATCTACAACTTACTTTGTGCAGAGATTGGTGCATAGAGACTGAAGTTCATCAGCATCATATTCGTTTTCATCATGAAGGACTCGATAGGACACTGTACTAGTTCCCTGAAAGGAATGTATTCAAATATTTACAATCAAACAATCAAAGCTAAAGTATTCTTAGGAAGCAAGAAAAAGATGTACTTTACCCCAACAACTGGATGGCTACAAGAGAACTCAAACTTTGTAGAACAACTATCTTCACCAACAGCAGATTCTATGGACCAAGGAAAAATGAAAGGCAAAAAATCAGACACCAAAGCACTTTCGTCAGTAAAAGAAGAAGGTAACTAAACATACTAACCAGCTCGTCCAACAACCACATATGTGATTGGCAGCGTACTCGTGAATATAGAGGTGCAAGCCTTTTATCAAATCAAAGAAATACAAAACTGATAAAATGGTCAGGTAAAAATAAAGACACAAAAATAACCCAGATCATATATATACCTTTCGTATTGTGTCTATTTCTTGAGACAAAATGAATCTAAGTTGACCTTCATCTACACCATTTCTGTGCAAATTAATGCACTGTTAGCACATCTCAATAAACTGGACAAAAATATCAAAGGGATAACAGTCTTCCTAACCTGAAGAAGATTATTCGACTAGGCAATATCTTTGTTTTCTTGAAGAAAATAAGCAGAGAACTTCTGTAAAAAAAAAAGAAACATTAATGCCCAAAAAGGCAATGTGACAATAGAAACATTAGTGCCCAGAAAGGTACATGTGACAATAGGTAGTTACTATACATCGCATATATCAAACACAATTTTACTAGTTACTTATATTAAACACAATTACCTGACCATGCTTTCCCTCACTTTATTTTCATTATGCAGATTTTTTATGGTGACTTCCTTACATGGTTGCTCAGCGACTAAAGCATTATACCTACTAGATACAGGCCAATCAAAGGATGACACCACCTGCATGAATGCACCAAAATATGATTGGCCAGTGGAAGGTGTAACAAATGTAGTACAACTAAAACAGAAAACAGATTGAATCAAGGAGATGTTAGATACAGGAAGGAGACATACAGACGCAATGGATATATTTGAATCACAAAATATATCAGCTCCAAAAACAATTGTAGGGTCGTCTTCTTTTGCAGAAAATGGCATAACAAAGTTGTGCGGAAGAACATCAGCATCACGCCTTACAACCTGACGAAGAAACGCAAAACATGAGTTGTATTTTTTTGGGGGGGCGGCATGACAGTAATCACAATATATCATAGAAAAAAAACCTTGTTATTTATTTCATAAGCAGTAGTCTTGAGATAGACCTTGCTCGGGTTCCTAGCATCCACAGGCGAACAACATTGATATACAAATCCAAGTTTCTCACACACCTTTTCACTTTTGTCTGCAAATTGCACATTTGATTGTCAAAAAAAAACACATCATCTGACCAATCAATCAATAAATTTCATTACCATATGTTTCATCTCCAACTTCTTTGTCTGGCAGAATTACAAGCAGAAGTCCTATTTCTTGTCCATGTATGCTAAAGATTTCTGAGATCGTGTCATGCATATGCCAGAGAGCGTCTTCTACGTCAGTGGAAGAACCAGGCTTTACATGGACGCAACTTGTTGCCACTGGATAAAATCCCTACAAGTTATTAGAAGTCAAAGTCAGATGTGCAGTTTGTGATTATTTAAATTGCACGAGCCAAGAGTGAAAGCACTTTACCATTCCCATGTCAACACAAGTCCCTACTAGCTTCTCTAAGAATTTTCTTGTCTCTTTCG